GGGTGGGACGGGAGCTGGAGATGCCGGAAGCGCTTCCCGCCCTGCGGTTTTCTTGGGCATTGTCTGTGGTGGCCGAAGGCTCCGTCACACTCGTCGAGATGGTGTGGGTGCCTCCCGTGTTTAACTTGAGCCTCAGGAACTCTGTCTAGCAGAGGAGAGATGGTAGATGAGTTAGTAACACTGAGGGGAAAGCGAAGGAGGTAGTGGCTGGTTCTTCAGGGATGTGTGTTCGAACTGGTTCTTGAAGGATCTGTGCTCGATGCGTGCCCACTTGAAGGAAAAGGGAACTGAATTCGGTTGTGTTGGAGCAAAGACAATCCTGGTCGTGGCAGAAGCATTCGACAAGTTAATAGAAGCATTAAAAAACTGTGGGGCAACGTGTGACTGTCAAGTCTAGTAGGAACCAAGTGAAGGCTGGACAGAGTGGCATTTAAAATTCATATAAGGCTGAACGCAGTGGCACATACCTGTGACTCCTAGACATTCTGGAGGCTGAGGCCAGAGGATTTGTTGAGTCCTGAAGTTCTAGAGGAGATTGGGGGCAAACACAAGAAGAGTGGTCTTAACTTGTTTGTAAAACTACAGCGCTACCACCTCGCCGTAGCGTTGCCAGTGTAACAGAAAAGGCAAAATTGGAACTTGTCTCTGAACAAGTTTGGATTTAGGAACTTGGTTAGAATTGGTGTGTGTGTGTGTGTGTGTGTGTCAATGGTACATCAATGCAGGATTGTTGAAAACTTTGAGACAAAGTTAGGATGCAAACCTAGAGAAATCTAGTGTGCAAGTTGTCTGTAGGTTGACCCATCGTTTGGGTAGTTTTTAATAGACATCCATCTTACTTGGATAATGAGAATATTGTATTCTAGAAAGGGCATCCTCATATAAACAGCGGAGGTGGAGGTGGAGGGCAGAGGTAGTTTCAATGTCCAAACAGTATGTGAGGCCGCATGGTTTTAATTTTTAAGATACAGTGTGGGGCTGGGAATGTAGCAGTAGAGTGCAAAACTAGCTTGTAAAAGGCCCTGAACATAATACTTAGCACTATAGGAAGGAAAAACAAGTTTGTGACTACCAAATTGGCAAAATGTTAAAGTGTTGGCAGATAAAAGAAGTTCCAGACTGCTACAAGTAAGTGTAAACCAGCCTAGATGTTCTGAGAATGTTTTGGCTGTATTTATTGACGCTATATATGCAAATATCTGGCAAGTCCCTAAGAAGATATCACCGGAAGATCTCAGTATCACCCCCCTCTGCAACTTAATTGAAGAAACCTAAACGAGTTACCAGCAGACCTATTAGGTGATGCTCATTCATCAAAACTGGAATCATCTGTTTTCTTGGGAGATGACTTAATAGCTCCAAGCTTCCTAGCAATTTAAATGAAAATTAAGAGCTGTTTTGAGACCCTATTTTGGAATACAAAGGATGTTTATCCTTCTATACTAATGCTACAGACTCAAAATCAGTTCTCTAACCGATCAGTTATGAGCATAAAAGAATATCCTGTAAAATGAGACTTTTAACAGTGGAAGGCTTAAAAAGGACAGGTGCTACTAAAATGTTTCATCCTCTGGTGGGACAACTAAATACCCATGTCTGTCCCCCACTCTGATGATTTCTTCAGCATGTTAGAACAGTGAGAAATGGTTTAGTCTCATTACCAAGTTAAAGTGAAGGCACAGCCACATAATACACATGCTTCACTTAAAAAAAAAATGTAGCCAGGTGCCACATGCCTTTAATACTAGCATTCACCCTTGGGAGGCAGGGGCAGGTAGATCTCTTGTTCTAAGCCAGGCTTGTCTACAGATTGACTTCCAAGACAGCCAGGGCTATCCAGAGAAACCCTGTAAGTCATAATCTTGAGTAACTGCTATCTTAGAATACAGTTCTCTAAAAGCAGTTATTATGTCATGGCTCAACAGTAAAGACCCCATGCTACTTCTCCCAGAGTGTCTGAGTTTGCATCCCAGCACTCATGTTCAGTGGCTCACACTGCCTATAACTCTGATTGCAGCTGGTCTTACACCCTCTCCTGGACTCCAAGGGCACCTGTGTGCATGTGCCTAATGCACAGATTGCAGCTGGTCTGACACCCTCTCCTGGACTCCAAGGGCACCTGTGTGCATGTGCCTAATGCACACACATAAATAGTAAGATTAAGTATTTTAAAGTTATTGTACAAAACTGAAAGAACTTAAGTCTTCTTAGGTGACCCAGTGACTGAATGGAAAGTGGTAAACAAAAGGCAAAATTATAAAGTTGAGGCCTGATAAGGAAACGACCAATATGAATTAAAAGAAGAACAGTAATTTAAACTGTATTCCAGCAATAATGAAGGCTATTCTGACTTTAAGGTCATATCATATGGCATGTTTCTGACTTTGTTCCCAACATAGTCTCTTAAATGTTTCTCTGACTTCCAGATTTGTGCAATCTGTGGTATTAAAGGATCATGCAAACTTGTTTCAAAATAGTGAACAAGTAAGAGTGATTTAGAACTAGTTAGAGCAGGTGATCTCTGATCCTAGACTGGGAGACAGATGTTACTGTTACTATTTGAATGAAAGTTCTTGCAAATGTATCCTTAGGTGGTTTGAAGGTAAAAAAGTGAACTTTCAGAAAGAATACTCTGTCTTAATATGGAATGCCATTAATCTTATAATTTTGATGCATTTCCTCAGTTGCACCTGCAGAATTTTATATTGGTGTGCCATGGACCAATCAGAAAGAGCCTCACATTATTCCATTTCAGTGTCATAGTTTGACTTATAACTGATTTCTTGTTACCTTTCTTTAAAATGTGTGTTTATTTATTTTGCCTGCATGTATATGTACTTTGTGTGTGCCTGGTTCCCACAGTGGCCAGAAGAAGGCATTGGATTCCCTAGAACTGGAGTTACAGATTGTGTGAGCCATCATGTGGGTGATGGGAAATGAACCTGGTTCTTCTTCTTCTTCTTCTTTTTTAAAGGTTTTATTTATTTATTTATTTATTTATTTATTTATTTATATTTATTTATTAGTATACAACATTCTGCTTCCATGTATATCTGCACACCAGAAGAAGGCACCAGATCTCATAACGGATGGTTGTGAGCCACCATGCGGTTGCTGGGAATTGAACTCAGGACCTCTCAAAGAACAGTCAGTGCTCTTAACCTCTGAGCCATCTCTCCAGCCCGAACCTGGGTCTTCTATAAGAGGAGCTAGAGCTCCTAACCACTGACCCATTTCTCCATCCCCAACTATCTTGTTGTTTGTTGTTGTTTAATAATTTTATTTTTTGAAATGTATGTGTATGAGTGTTTTGATTGCATTTATGTATATGTACCATGTGTATGCCTGGCCCCCCAAAGAGATTAGAACAGGACCTTGGATTCCCTGGAACTGGAGTTTTGCATGGTTATGAGCCACCTTGTAGATGTTGGGAACTGAATCCAGGTTTCTGCAAGGATAGGTGCTCTTAACCATTTGTAGTACTAATTCTAGTTGGTAATAATAATAAAAATCTAGAGACAGCTGAAGATCAGAAAAGCAAAGTGTCCAGCCACTAGAGAGTTCTCACAAATGCTCAGACCAAAAGGGTGATCCTGTCCTCAGATTTTATCTCCAGACTGCACTGAGCTCCTGTAGCCTCTGATGGGGATGTCCTGTGTATGTTTATGTTATTGATTGTTGAATAAAGCACTGTTTGGCCAATGAGGTAGCAAGTTAGGTGGGACTAGGAGTCAAGGAGGATTCTGGGAAATGTAGTATAAAGAAGTCTGTGATCCAGGCAGGAAATGACATAGCAGGCAGACTCATATATAAGCAAGGACAAACAGGAAGTCATCCCTTTTCTCTCCCTCCTGCTCTCTGCTCTGGAGTCACCATGTACCTGTCAGGAAGACAGGACACAAGGCTGGCATTCTCTATAAGATGAGTCTTATAAAATATATAGATTATGATTATGGTTGATAATTAAGACGGATGTGTACTCAAAGGTCTGACAAGTTTCTTGATTATTGGGTTGGTAGGGAAGGACTGTCTTGTTTTACGCTGTGTATCAGTCTTCCCTAACACAACTGTCACAAACACAGGATAGATCTAAGGGGATTGAGTTTACTTCTCATGTGTAATCATTGAATTTGTGTCAACCTTTTCCTTTAAGGAACAGCAACTTCGTACTAAACTGGGTGGGTATGGATGTGGGTCAGGGGCTGAGAGGGAGAATAGGTGCATAAAAGGAAACTTTTTTTTTTTTTTTTTGGTTTGTTTGTTTGGTTTGGTTTTTTGAGACAGGGTTTCTCTGCATTGTTTTGGAGCCTGTCCTGGAACTCGCTCTGTAGACCAGGCTGACCTCATAGAGATCCACCTGCCTCTGCCTCCCAAGTGTTGGGATTAAAGGCCTGGACATTTACCTGGCATATGTGTGTATGATAGAACTGATACACTGCTGTGATCAGGGTTAGTTAAGTAAATGAGTGCAATAAGATGAAGTGATTAGGACGTTAAAATGTAAAAATGGGAAAACAATATTTGTAGGGGCTGGAGGCATGGCTCCCTACTTCAGAGATGTTGTTGCCTTTGGAGAGGGCCTGAGTTGGGTTCCCAGTAAGTTGAGTTCCCAGCACTCTCAGCTATCTACAATTCCAGTTCCAGGGAACCCAACACCTTCTTCTTCTTCTTCTTCTTTTTTTTTTTTTTTGTAGGCATCTTCATGTATGTGTATATACACAGGCGGGTGCATGCACATACACATAAAAAGAGTTCTAGGCCAATCAGAGCTACCTGTCTAAAACAGCACCACAAATCTTAAAAGTATAGGTCTGGTATCCTGCTCATTGGGAGGCTAAGGTTAGAAAAGTTGAAATTTTGAAGCCAGCCTAAGCAATGTAGTGAGGCCCCGTCTCAAGAAAACAAAACCCTAGTAGGAACATAATCTGTGAGAAGTGTTCAGGAAGTAAAAATCTTCCAGGCCAGAGATACTCTATGAACAACACTACAAAAATTCTATTTATATAGCCATATAGTTATCACCACTGTATTTAAACCATGACATATGTAAATTCTCAAGGTTGAGAATTTATATATGTAATTGTCCACACCATTGGCTATATTTTTTTTCACTTAAATCTTTTAAGAAATTCATCTGGTAGTTGAAGTAGCAGTTTGTAGATTACCTTAAGCACCCTTACCTGAGAATGGAGTAAAACTTCTCTTATCTCCATAATAAGCACATAGTTACTAGTAGGACAAAAATGCCAAGGTTAAGCTCCCGTGGCTATAAGGAAATGGGATGACATGTTTCTAGATGCTTACACTGGAAAAGAATGCCTCTCAGATCCTTGAAACATGTCAGGGTAAAGGCTTAGTTGGTTTTTTCTCAGATGGCTAGGGTGAAAGACAATGAGGTAATTAAAATAATAGAACATGGGACCTAAAAGGAATGGGGAAAGAAGTTAAGTGGAAGTAGTGTGAGCCGCTTGAGGTACAATTAGACTGACAGTTAGACTAGTACAGGGCAGGGTTAAGATGTAGCTCAGTTAGTAGAGTGCTTATCTGGGCCCCAGGTTCTAACCTCAGCACCACATAAAAAGTTGGCTTGTTGGTATACTCCTGTGATCCAAGCACTCTAGTGGTAGAGGTAGAAGGAGTAGAAGTTCAAGATCATCCTCAGCTATATACCAAGTTTGAGACCAGTTTGGGCTGCATGAGACTCTGCCACAAATGAAAGAAGAGTTGAGGCCAACCTGTGGGCTGCACAGTAATAGACTGTCTCAAAATGTGGTGGCATGTGTAGATCATTGAAGCTCAAAAACAAAACAGGTCTCTGGGGTATTGAGACCACCTTTTAAACTTTTAAAGTTGCCCAAGATAACAGAACTGAGAAGGTTGGGCTTGTGCCTAAGTCTTCAGCAATAATAACTGAGGGAAATGAACAATAAAGTATAGGAAAGAGACTAAGAGAGGCAAGGGCTTCTGTCTTTCTTTGGACAATTAAGGCTAGAGGAAACATCAGGTATCAAAGGAGCACAAACACCCTTGTTTTTAATTTGCTTTCTTTGCTTGCTTATCAGTAACAGTGTTTGTTACATTTCTTTGATGATTTTGCCGAAATAAAATTTCTTTCCTTTTGTACTTGCAGGTTTTCACAGTTGAGGGCAGCAAAGAAAGCAGGATGTCTGTGGATCCGATGGCCTATGAGGCCCAGTTCTTTGGCTTCACACCACAGACTTGCTTACTGAGGATCTACATAGCATTTCAAGACCACCTATTTGAAGTGATGCAGGCTGTGGAACACGTAATCCTAAAGAAGCTGGAGGGCATGCCAGACTCTGAGATTAGCCCTGTCCAAATTCGTAAATGCACAGAGAAGTTCCTTTGCTTCATGAAAGGACGTTTTGATAACCTTTTTGGCAGAATGGAGCAGCTGATTTTGCAGTCGGTTTTGTGTATTCCCCCAAACATCCTGCTTCCTGAAGATAAGTGTCAGGAGACGCATCCTTTTAATGAAGAAAAATTCCAGCTTCTCAAAAAGGAAATTGAAGAGTTACAGGAGAAGTATAAGGTTGAATTACGCACTGAGCAGGCCCTTCTTGCAGAATTAGAGGAGCAAAAAGCTGTTAAAGCCAAACTCAAAGAGACCTTGACTTTCTTTGATGAGCTTGAAAACATTGGCAGAGATCATGGAACTAGTAACTTTAGGGAGAGCTTGGTGTCCCTGGTCCAGAACTGTAGAAAACTCCAGAACATTAGAGACAATGTAGAAAAACAAAGCAAAAGACTGGAAACACTGTAACTTCTCAGCATTGAAAAGAAAGAGCATGTAAATAAGTAGCTTTTCTTTGATTACTCTTATGTTTGAGGTCTTTTCTCTCTCCTTTCCCAGGTTCCACAAAGCAGATTGGCAGATCTTCTAGAACTGCAGGCTCCAATTGAGATCTCTAAAGCAGAGTTTGTGTTCATCTGGTTTTTCCTTCTGAAATTGGGTTGACCACCCTTTTATCTGATAACACCTCGAGTTCTTCTTTTGGGATTGTACCTATTCAGCTGTTAGGGGTGCTTTAGTGTGATTTCAGGAGGGAGTGGAATCCTGTGTAAATCAGGCCTGTATGTTCATTCACTGAGTGTTGGAGTGCAACCTGAGGTATATCAGGGACTAATAAAGCAGAAAAGCTGGGCTGGGGACACAGCTCAGTGGTAGAGTATGCTCAGCATGTGAGTCCTCAGGTTGAACATGCCACACTTTGGAGAGAAGCAAAAGGAGGAGGGGGAAGGACAAAAAAAAAGCAAAGGGGGAAACAAGGCACAGCAGAGGGATCAGGGATATGAGGTGAAGTATACTGCAATATTAGGAGAGCTGTGCCCTACTCATGTAAGATTCAAGTCGAGCTTAAAAGAGAAGGCATTAGCCACATACCTGAAGGATCATCCTTGGCAGGGGCTGATGATACCAGTCAGCAGGTATAAGTACTTGTAGTATAAGCCTGGTGACCCAAGTTGGATCCCCAGAACCCTTGTAAAGGTGGAAAGAGATTTGATTCACAGAATTGTACTCTGACTTCTAAAGGTACACTGTGGCATGTGCATACACACATATACATACACAGTAATTTTTTTAAAGAGTAAACAAAACCTCTGTGTATGTTTGTGTGCCATTAAAAAACTAACTCCTAACTGGGTGGTGGTGGTGCATACCTTTATTTAGTTCTAGCACTTGGGAGGCAGAAAGCAGGCAAATCTCTGTGAGTTCGAGACCAGCCTGGTCTACAAGAGCTAGTTCCAGGACAGATTCCAAAGCTGCACAGGAAAACAAAACAAAACAAACAAAAAAACCTGACTCCTAGCTGGCTGTTGTGCACACCATTGATCCCAGCACTTGGGAGGCAGAGGCAGTAGGGTCTCTTGGGGGAGTTTAGCCTGGGCTACATAAAGAGTGAGGGCAGCCTGGGCTACATAGAGAGACCCTGTCTCAAAAACAAAACAAAAAAAAAAACAAAAAAAACCCCAAATATGATTCATGACACTTTAGATTGGTAAAAAGACTTTATTGGAGACTCTTGGATTAGATAAAGGAACAATTTGCATCGGGGTTTTGCATTGAGGGAGTGGTTAGATTCTGAAAATAACAAGGAAAAGTTGGGGATGTACAGCGAAGGGACAGAATGGACAAAAGGTTGTCATCAGAGGGAAAATGACTAAAGGGGACCCTGTTAGGGTTTGAATGTGTACAACAAAATCCATGTGTTAAAACTAACTTCCTAGTGATACAGTGTTGAAGTTAAACATTTATACTTTGATTAATGCCAAGGGAATGAAGGAGTTTTGCTGAGTGAGTTTTCAATAAAAAACACGAGTTCCAGCCACTCTGTGATTTTACTCTGAAACACCTCCACCATGGGAAGAGGCAGCTAGAAGACATTTTCCTTAACTTTGGACTTCCTAATCTCTAGACCTGTAATAAATATTTACATGTTACCTTGCAGATTAATATATAGGAAGAGATTCTTAATTCAGCACTGGCTTATTTGGGAGGAATGTTTAAAGAATGATGCCATAGCCAAAGACGCTTCTACTTTGGTCATGAGCCCTTTGTGATCTCAATTGTTTTGACTGACTGAAGATAACTTGAGAGAAGGATTAAACCAACTGATTTCTTTATTAACCAGTCATCACACGTGGGCCAGCCAGTACAGCACACTTTTATCAGTAGCTTTGCTTACACTGGGAGCTTTCTAAAAAAGACTATTCTTGGCTTTGGTACAGAAGAAAGATTGTTTTTGTTTCCAGAACAACTTCTTTGCAAGAGTAAGGCCCTGGTGGTGGTAAGCAGTTAACCTTGGAGTCCATCAGGACTGGGAGAAAAGCCAATCCCCTTTATGACTTCTTGGTTTTTTGTTTTTGTTTTTGTTTTGGCAAGGTTTCATGTACTTAGATTGGCCTTTACCTACAAAATATTGGCATTGCTGTTTGCCACCACACCTGGCTCTTTGTAAGTGTAATCAAGTTCAGTATAAAGAGACCATCTTGAATTAACTTGGTGGGCTCTGATCTAGTGATGCCATATATACCTCCAAGGAGGAAGCAAAGGCCAGGGAGGGCAAAAGGAAGATTTGAGATGAAAGACAAGCTGTCTTGTTACTCTAGACACTTTGGAATACTGCAGTCATAAGGTGGAAGAGCTGGGGCACAGATATTTAGAGCTAGAATTTGTGTGGTCCTGTGGACACATTGTAGATTTCTGGCCTACACAGCTGTGAAAATAAATTCCTGGTGTTTTGAGTTTTTTGCAGCAGCCATGGACCTAGTGAAATCAGAATAAGATACTGATAAGGGAATAGGATATCTTTTAGGGAAGTAAAATCTGAGGCCTTTCATGCTGTCCCAGATAGCGAAGTTCTAACATCTCCCTCAAGCATGTTTCATAATCTGAAATGATTTCATGTGTCCGTATCATATATTTGCCCACCACTGACAACTCAATAGAACAGGACACTTGCCCCAAACAATTGGCACTGGGTTAATTTTGATCTGCTGGAAATAGATGGCTGATGTTTTACCTGCCCACAGCATTCATAACACTTGAGTTGTCCTTTGAGAAATTATTTTCATGTTGTCCCTTTGGGCTAAACGTATATGTGTGATCTCAATTAGGCCAATAAAAGTCTAGAATTTTAGAAATACATGGTTTTGGTACTAGGTATTGAACCTAGAGAGTTCACACTAAGCAGTACTGAACGCTGCATTCCTAGGATTTGAGCAACATAAAACGTGGGCCAAAGGGATGGGTACATTTGATTATTTTTAAGATTTATTTATGTGTCTGATCCCCAGAACTGGAGTCACCATGTGGGTCATGGAAGCTTAAACCCTGTCCTCTGCAAGAATCCTGAGTATTCTTAGCCCCTGAGTCATTTCTCCAGCTCATAGGTGATTTGTTTTATGGCCATATTCTAAAAGGCTGCTTATTGATAGGCAAGAAAAGTCTTGATAATTTGGACAATGCAACCTTGAAATTGTTATATTTATAAGACTATACAGAAGCAGTTACCTGAAAAATAAGTAGTCAGATGCATAATCACTGTGGGAAACCTAAACCGCTTAACAGGAAGGTAGGCCAGACAGTTGATGATGCTAAAGCAACATGTGGATGAGGGGAAAGCAGTGATTAGAAATTATAGGCCACCCAGCACTTGGGAGGCAGAGATAGGTGATCTTTGAGTTCAAGGCCAGCCTGGTCTATAAAGTGAGTTCCAGGACAGCCAGGGTTACACAGAGAAACCTTATTTCAAAAAGCCAAAAAGAAAATACAGGCCAAACATTGGAGTCCAGTAAAACCAGAAAGTTCAAAGAAAATGAGCAGATGTAGGGAACACAGCCAATAAGACAATATTGGAATGTGGGAAGAAAAGTAATTGAGTCTTGGGTCTGGGTAGACTTGGAAGGCAATGATGGGTCAATGTTAGAGGCTCAAGTGCAACAGTAGGGAGACTATTTGTGGGACAATAATACATCAGAAGTAAGGGACAGATACAGGTTATTTTTGTTGTACTTAGCATTGAACCTCAGGTTCTTAGCATTGAAATATAACCCAGACAGGGGCTGTATAATTGAGATTTTAAAATTTTAGTTATATCCCTTTATATGCCATATGCTGGCTGGTGCTTGTGAAGGCCAGAAGAGGGCGTCAGGTCCCTGGGACTAACAGGTGCTGGGAATCCAATTCCAGTCCTCTGGAGGAGCAGCAAGCATGCTTTTGTTATTTGGTTGGTTGGTTGGTTTGGTCTAGGGTCATAGGAGGAAAAGGTTTATTTCCTCTTAATATTTCAAGGTAATAGCCTATCTTTGAGGGAAGTCAGGGCAGGGACTCAAGCCTGGAGGCAGAAACTGAAGCAGAGACCATGGAAGGATGCTGCTTACTCTATGGCTTGCTCAACTTGTTTTAATTTTATTATTAAAACATAGTTACATAATTTCCTCCTTGTCTTTACTCCCTCCAACCCTTCCCATGCCCCTCTTCTCAAATTCATGGCCCTTAAATTGTTACTGAACACACACACACACACACACAAATACAACCTGCTGAGTCTGTTTAGTGTTGTGTGTATAAGCTTCACCCATAATACCTCAACAATGTGGCTGCCTAAACAAAGTCTGAACAAGGACACCATCAATACACATGCTAACAACACAAAAGGGGGGATCTCACTGGGTCCCACCTAGGCCTACAGGAATACTGAAAGGGAGGGAGGGTGGGAGAATTAGTCTTTCCAGGGATGAGCCCCCTAATTAACTAATATGATACAACAAGAATTCTAAATGTCTGAGCCATCTCTAGTCCAGACATTGAAGTCAATGTTAATATTGTAAAGGCAGTATGTCTAACAGTGGTATAATTGGTAGAACTAGATGCTTGAATTTGGGATAGAAAATGGGAACTTAGGTATCAGGAAAGTATCAAGATAACATGGAATAATAAATACTAAGGAATGGGTAATTTGGTTTGGGGACTAGAGGAAGGAATCTACTATTGGGATGATACGGTCATACCTAGGACTGTAAAGTGAGGGCCATGCTTGGAAAACATGAGCCCGTAGGGATTCAGTGGGGAGCAGTATTAGGGGATAGTACTGTCCAGTGTCCAAGGGTAAAAAACTGATAGATACTTGTCACCATACCTTGGACATGTAATTTGGGGGAACTAACATTGATGTTTAGAGAGAATTACTGTAAATAGGCTGTCATAAGGGAACAGTGGATGTCAGACTTGTGGTACTTAAACTGCAGAGAAGCAGGATACCAAGTCACCTGGTGATACAGGATTAGGGAAGGCCAGGACTGTGAAGGAAGGCCCTTTTTATGGGAAAAGCAGTTTATAAAATCCCAAGCTGGGTGAATCATGGGGGCAGATTCAGAGCTTATGAGGGACTTTGCTGGGCCAGGAGTACCTTAATAAGGAGCCAACTGGGAATGAAATACCGAGGAGCAGTGGACAGTGAGGCCATGCTGCAGTGGCAAACCTGATGTTAGGGGCTTGTGGATATAGGAACCTGGACATAGTGACAGATGCCACAGAGGGAATTGTCTAGCTATTTGGAGTGAAGAGATTTTGTATCTAGGAATGCTGGGTAATTAAGTCAGCTTTACAGGGATAGTGGGAATGTCTTAAAGAGTGGGGCGTAAAATCTGGAGCAGAATAGCAAGTCTAGCAAGGGCCATCAAATAGTTGGAAGTTAATGAACAACAATACAAAGGAGACTGAGAAGTTCCATCAGACATGCCACAATTACAGACATTGAGTAGAGTATAGCAGCGTTGGAGGACTGCATGTGAACGACTGACATTCACAAGTAAACAAAGCGGGTAGGCAAATAACCTGCAAAGGTGAGTTCTGGTATTTAGTTTTTTTGAGTCTGAGATGACAAGTGCAGCAGGAAAACTCTTATTATTGACAGTCCCAATCCCAGCTCCTTCATCTTGGTCCCTTAGCTTCAGGGGGCCTCCAGGCTGAAATGAAGTCGCCTGAGAATTCTCTAGTGTAGTCCTCCCATGAACCCCAGCAAAGGAAGACCCTCAGTCTCATCTCACGGAATCCACGGATTCTAGTCCTCCATCCCTGAAGGTCTGTGGTCTCCTGTTCCACACAGTCCAAAAAATCTGTCTTGAGCGTTGGCTTTCTGATGTTCAACTCCGCTTACTACAGTCCTTGGGTCCTCCTGGTAGCCACAAAACCTAAAGTGGGGAGAAAATGCCCAGGCTGCATCAGCTCCAACCCCTGAGAGCACAGAATCATACCTTGACAAACACCACTCACCTGCAGCTTCCAGCCATACCCGCTGCTTTCCCAGTTCCACCAGCTTGGTGTGCTGAGTTCTTACTGAAACAGGCTCATAGACACAACAGGTTCATTTTTGTGTGACGCAGTAGCGGCATGGGGCTCCAGCACTACAGCAATGGCACTGAATCTCTGGGTACCCTCTCTGGGAGGCCTCGGGCTCGGGTCTGCTTCATACCTTTTCAGCAACAGAAGCTTGGACTCAGTCTGCGCTCTACAAACGCAAAAACACTGGGCCCTCACATCACAAAGTGGTAGGGTACAGAGACATCATCTTAGTCATGAACGGGGTTCAATCCAATCAGGATCATAAACGTTACAGACTAATTGCACTCAATGTGTGGGTGAAAGCAGCACTGCTAATTCATTGCCCGGCAGCGACTTTGGACCTTTTGATGAACAGTTACACAAAGCAACAGCAAGGAAAGACATCAAATGCTAGATGAAAGGGGTGCAGCGCATCTCCAAAACAAAAGGCTGCGTATTCCCCTATCCCAATCGCCCCACCCCCACCCTGTCGGACCCTGGTTGCTTAGGCAAGCTGCAAATGGATATAGGTGAAAATGCAGGAAGTGATGGAGAAGGCGATGGCCGCGTAGATGAAGATGGATAGGTGAGGGAAATGGTCGAGGTAGCAGCCCTCGTCCACCAGAGGCTCCTCTTCCTCGGGCTCGGGGCGCACAGCGGCCTTTCGGGACTGTCCAGTGCGGGTCCTCGGATCCCTCCCGCCCACACGCCGACCAGATTTCCTGCCAGCCGACTTGGGTGCACGGACAGTGTGGCCCTCTTCCGGGGGCGGCTTATCGAAGAGGCCCTCGGACTCAGGGTCAGAGTCAAAATACATCTGCTCTGGAGCCCAGGGCTTGCGCGGAAAGGAACCTTTAGCCATCGGCGCAGAAGACGGGCAGGCGGGGGAGCTGCTGAGACTGGGAGGCGTCTCCACAGGGAGGCAGTGCAGTGGGTGGTGGCCCAGACTGCAGCAGTATTTCTACACTCAGTGTGGATGGGGATTGTGGGGCGGAGCCAGCAGAGCAGGGGTCCTCTGCGGGTCCAGGGCCTCTCTGCCCAGATAGCCACTTTCTCTGGCTCCACCTTTCCACCCACAGCCTGTTGCAGAGGTTGGCCAGCCAGTTTCTAGTATCTCCCAAGTCTTGGTGCAGGCAGGTCTGTCTCCATAGCAACGAAACTGGCATGCGGGGGAGGAGGCGAGAGGAGCTTGTTGGGATCTCCCAGCTAGTAAGGGGGTGTCTTGGCATTCTGAAAGATGAAATGCAGGGGTTGAAGCTCCAAGCTGTGCAAGGAGCTTCCCAAGGGTTTTAGGCCTCCTTTTCAAAGACACGAATAATGTAAGGTCTTAAAAATTGATAGGCAGACACGTGTAATGAGGTGATGCACAAATGCGCAGTTTTATAACAAAGGACATCGCGTTGCTGCATGAGATCCAGATACATGAAAATCAGTGGAGAATGGCCAACTCACAAACTAAGTGGTGGCCACTTAATCCGATCTCTCTTGCTACTTCTGTTGTGCCTGAGGCTCCAAGGCTGGTTGTCAGTCCCTTTTGAGATTTGGGGAGAGCAATCACATGATTCATTTGGGCCTTCCTTGTGTTGGAGGAATCCACTAGCAAGCCTGCCAGTAGCAATATATCCAACTCCTACCAGACAACTCATTCTAGTTCATCCAACAGAAACCAGGATCATGGTGTTGAAATAATGTGACCAGAGTGCTGTCTCTCATGCTGAGAGCATTCAGGGTTCCTTGCAGCAGTAGCAGATACCACTAGGTAGTGGTAGCATCTTGATGTTTATTGAATAAGTGTTAGGCTGGCAGCAAGAGGCTACATTCTCAGAGTCTAGATGTAGATAAGAGCATCTCCTTAGCTAGGACAAACAGAACATGAGATCCTCAGCCATGCTACTGGGATTTGAGAAGGGTGGAGGGACTTTTTATGATAGTTTCATAAAAAGTTGAGCATATACTTAAGATGTAACTCAGATGATATGGGATGTCCTTCTGTATGCTGTGAATATGTATTGCTTTTATTGGTTGATGTTTCAGCCAATGGCCAGGCAGGGCATACCTTGGCGGGAATTCCAAACAAAGATAGAGAAGGAAGGCAGGGTTGAGGAGACAGACACCATGTAGCTGCTGGGAAAGCAAGATGACAGGGCATCACCGGTAAGCCACAACCACATGGTGATATACAGATTAATAGAAATGGATTAATTTTAAGCAGAACTAGCCAGTAAGAAGCCTAAGCCATTGGCCAAACAATTGCAACTGATATTAAGCCTTAGAATGGTTATTTCATAAATGGCTGCAGGCACTCGGTAGATGGAGAGAAAACTGTTCCAGTGTGACCCGGCTAGGAAGAGAAACAGGTCAACAGCTGAACACATAAAAGTCTCCTCCACACTCAGGAGGCTAGAGAGATGGCTCCGCCGCAGTTAAGAGCACTAGTTGCTCTTCTAGAGAACCCACATTCAATTCCCAGCAACTGGGACCTCCATAGGCATCAGGCATGCACACAGTACTCAAACATATATGCAGGAAAACATCCATATGCACAAATTTGTTTTTAAAAGTAAAAAAAAAAAAAGCAATAGGATCTAAGCCTTATCCCCAGAGTGTTGCAGATCACCTGCTGCTGACTTCCCCTTCTCTCTGCGCCCATTCTCGTGGGTCATCCAGATCTTCCACAGCCTTTCTCCATGATGCGTCCTTTTGTCTCAGCAGCCAATCCAGGAGGCACTCCCTGGAAAATGGACTGGCCACTCTGGCCAAGGAATCATGTGGTGATATTTTGTTTATGATCTAAGAAATAAAGCTTGCCTGAAGATCAGAGTGCAAAGCTAGCTGCAGTAGTCAGCCATAGAGGCCAGGCAGCAGTGGCACACACCTTCAACCCCAGCAGCCACACTAGTTAGCCATGGAAGCTGGGCAGTGGTGGTGCATGCCTTAATCCCAGCACTACAGAGGAATAGAAGGCGGGAGAGGACAGGAACTAAGTAAGTCAGTAGTAATGCTGAGGACAGGATTGCTCCTTTTTGGTCTGAGCCTTGGTGGAGATAAGAACTCCCTAGTGGCTGGCTGCTTCGCTTTTCTGATCTTCAGCTTGAACCCTAATATCTGTCTCTGGGTTTTTATTATTCGTGCTACAGAATCCTATTGGTGCCTTGCTCAACCACCACTAAAGAAGTTTCCTCCTTCAGTAGATAGGAAGAAATACAGAGACCCAGAACCAGACAATGTGCAGAGAGTGAGAGACCCTGGAACACTGTTGTTTTCCCTTCAGCATAGTGGCCATGACCTAACCTACTGCTATTTCAGCCTGGTGGGATTTCTGTTCCGGCAGGCATTGGCTCTGTCGCTGCTGCTAAAGGTAGCTTTAACTAAGTCTCTATTGTTCTATTTATAAACAAGACTCAAAATTCCAGTGCTGGGGTGAAAGCCTGAGAGCTCTTAAAGTCTGAGAAGCAAAAAACTAACCTGTCTCCTTGCTGGTGTCTCTGAAGTGCTTCACCAAACCAGAAAAATCTGTGCCACTCCAAATCCATTCCCTCTGATGGGCTGTGTCAACTAATTGCTAACTCAGCCTCCTGTCCTAAGGTTAATTTTATTTAATCAATGCAAACACAAACTCGGGGTTCACAATGTGATTGAATATCTTGCAACAGCATTCTGTCTTAAAAGGGTGATGATCTCCATCAATCCCTCCCCTCAGGGCTCAGGGAACCCTGCAGAAGAGTAGATGGAAAGATGGCAAGAGTCAGAGAGGATGGAGGATGCCAAGGAAACAAGGTCCTCTAAATACAGCGGACTGGCACATATGTGAACTCATAGAGACTGTGGCAGCAGGCACAGGCTTGTCTGGGCTCTGTGCCAGGTGGGGTTCCAGCACTGGGAGAAATAGACACAAACTCCCACCCTTAACCCAGAAGCTATCTACAATTGATAACCACTCACAAATGAAAATTAGTTTTCTCCTACAGAGTCTTATTGGGGAAACAAACCACTCTTAAGGGCAGACCCCATGCCTAGCTGTGGATGGCCAACAGAATATAAACTCATCTTTGGAGGTTCTTTGTCTCATGTTTTGTCAGGGCCTTTTTCTTCTTCTTCTTTTTCCTTACAGGTCCTTTGAGCATATACTATGGCTTCCGATTTTGTGTTTTAATGATTCCTGGTGTATGAATGTGTCTCTCCTATTATGGTTTGTTTGATTTTGTTTTATTTTTATCATTATTCTTTAGATGCCTGTTGTTTTCTAACCAGAGATAGAAGTGTGGATTCAGAAGAGAGGGGAGCTGGGGAGGATCTTGGAGGAGTTGGGAGAGAGGAATGTTAGAATATATTGTATGAAAAAGAATCTTTTTTTGTTTTGTTTTGTTTTTGAGACAGGGTTTCTCTATGAATCAGTTTTGACTGTTCTGGAACTCACTCAGGATGGCCTCAAACTCACAAAGATCCACCTGATTCTGCCTCCTGAGTGTTGGGATTAAAGGCGAGCATCACCACTGACATATTTTTAATGAGAGAAAAATAGAAATAAAAAAGGATAGGACCTAGTCAGTCCACCCCTAGATTCTACCTAAGAAAAATGACTGCTCTATATGGAGACTAGTGTATAAACATCTGTAGCAACATTATTGTTAATAGCCAGAATTGCAAGTAATTCAAATGTCCATGGAATGATGAATGCATGAGGTTCATCTGTACAACTAAAATACTGCTCAGCAATGCAAAGGAGTGAGCTACTGGTACCTAGCTAACCGGAACTGGTCTAAAAAAGCATGCTAAGTGAAAAAGATAAGCCAGGTGAAAGAAAACATAGGTGATAGAATAAATAAGCAATGTCTAGAAAAAAACAAATTTATAGAAATAGAAAAGAGATTTATTGCTTGTTGCTAAGGGGGAAATAAAAATACTAGCTGTAAACAGGCTCTAGGCAACTTTCTAGTAACAGGAACATTCTAAATGCTCAATTGTGGTAAAACCTTATACAATTTCCTTTTTAAAAGTCAGTTTTGAATTTTATGTGTGTGGGTGTTTTGTCTGTGTACTGTGTGTGTGCATGGAGCCTGCAGAGGCCAGAGAGGGTGTCAGATCCCCACAGCTAGAATTAACAGATTATTGAGCCACTATGTGGGTGCTGGGAATCTGACCTGGTTGCTCTGGAAGAGCAGAGAGTACTCTTACCTGGTGAACCATCTCTCCAGTTTCCTCTTCTTAAAATAAACCTTAAAAGGTCTTTATTTTACTTACGTACGTGCATGTATGTGTAAGTGTACCGTGTGTGCAGGTGTCTGTGGGTGTCAGAAGAGGGTATCTTTATTTTTAGATTTATTTTTATCTTAATGTATTGGTGGGTGTCAGTGTGGTCTGCTACATGCATGTGGGTGCTCAGGGAGTCCAGATGAGAGTTCCAGATCTTCTGGAGCTGGAGTTACAGGCTTTGAGTTGCCCAAAGTGGGTGCTGGGAACCAATCTCATTTCTTTGGAAGAGTGAAACTCTTAACTACTGAGCTGTCTCTCCAGATTGTTTTTTTATATTTGGACAGGATTTCACTTTGTAGTTAAACTACCTTGGAATTCAAAGTACAAGTACTCTGTGTAGCCCAGAGTACTCTCAAATGCATGGGTAATCCTCTTGCCTCAGCCTTCTGCATGTTGAGATGACAGGTGTGAGCCACCATACCTGGCACTTTCCTATCTTTTAATACAAACACATTTTCAAAATGGGTGAGTGAAGCTGGGTGGTGGTTGTGAACACCTTTAATCCTAGCACTCAGGAGGCAGAGGCATGCGGATCTCTGTGAGTTCCAGGCCAGCCTGGTCTACAAAGTGAGTTCCAGGATAGCCAGTGCTGTTACACAGAGAAATCCT